ATATAACCTGGTGTCTTCAAGGCCCGAGTGACTAAGTTATTTATGTGTAGGAGTGCTCCATTGTAGCTTGCATCATCGCTCACTTCCAGGCTAGCCACAACAGTGTGGTGCACCAGTGAAGGGCTAATGCCTGCCACTATAAAAAATGACGAATTTTTAGAAGTAGATAAGTAAAGTTTCAAAAGTAAAAGGGAATAGTAAACTAAAGTGAGCAATGCGAAATGGGTTTGTAACGTCAGCCAACTCTTTAGCCTTAAGACATCAAAATAAAAATATAAACAATTTAACGAAAAACTAAAAGTCACAACATCAACCTTATTCTCTTCTATTTACAACACAGACTTACTTAATTCAAACACGAATATAAACAGAAATCCTTCCTTAATTATCTACTCATAGTCAATAAACTCCCCTTACGACTAGCAATCATTAATCGCTCACGAAATCTAATAAACGACGAGATAAAGGAATCCGTGTTCAATAGTACATTCAATAAATAACATAAAAGACATTTAATTAATATTTATGGCCGCTGAGCGTCCGGTAGGACTTTATTGAATCAAATCATTGTCTGTTCTCTTCACGATAAACGGTAATGTGTTTCTTTGTTAGTATTTGTGGGGTTACTGTTTTAAATTGTATCTGTTTATGGTTGTTTGTTTTTTGTAAATAAAGGCTGAAGCTGAAGCTGAGGCTATTTTACCCTATACCTAACAAAACATTTTTTTTATAAATCGAATTAAACGGAAACGAAATTCAAAGTATTTAAATAATTATTTTTCGCGATAAAACCCGCGTAATTATATATTTTTTTATATTATAGGTCGGCAAACGAGCTGACAGATTACCTAACGGTAAGCAATCAGCGCCACCCATGGACACTCGCAACGGAGGAGTTACGAGTGCGTTGCCGACCTTTTAGGGATTAGGGATTTGGAGATTTAGGGATTGAGGAGGGATTGGGTTGGGGAAGGATTGGGGCCTCCGGTAACTTCACTCACACGGCGAAACACAACGCTGTGGTTATTTCACGCCGGTTTTTCTGTGAGGCCGTGGTATCACTCCAGTCGAGCCGACCCATTCGTGCCGAAGCATGGTTCTCCCACACTTAAAATATGTTGTAAACATGAAACGCGAAAGTTTAAAAGTTACGAAACGAAAAGTTTATCATCTTATTCTATTAGGAAATTAATTCAGGATGTATGTACAATCTGTCGGCTAGTGTAATGCTATTTAGTTGGCATGGTTGTTATACGACTCATTTGTCAAACACCACAATGTTGTTTTATTTTAGGAGGTGAGGTGGTTACCTCATTACCTCATCTACTAATATACCCGGCTTGGGTGGCACGATAGAGAGTGTCAGTCCTTGTCCTGCTTCGAGCCGTGGCCGCGATGCGGTTGCATGCCTAACCCCGATTCTACAGTACTTCTGCCGGGCTTTATAATCTTTTTCTTTTTTTCATGAGATAAATCCAGTTAAGGCAAACGAGCATACGGATTATCCGATGAAAAGCCGCCCAAGGACCACCAAAACACCAAAGGTTACGAGGGCGTGGCCGGCCTTTCATATAAGGATTGGGAAGAACCAGGGGAGTGGTTGGTTCACGCTGGTTTTCTGTGAGGCCGTGGTATCACTACGGTCGAGCCGACCTGTTCGTACCGAAGCTTTCCTATTCAGATGCCACGGACACAATATTGATTCAGCATGGTGAATATTCTAGGAATAATAATTTAGCGTTTAATAATTAATATTCAAGACTTTGTAATCTCTAATCGTTCCCATGACAGGATAGAGCGACAACGACAAGGAACATAATTTCGAAAAGTTGGTATAGCAGGTCAATGGTATTGGGAACTGGAAAGCGCAAATAACTTGAACAAAGTGCAAATATGCAGAAAGCAGGCAGTTTATTCCAGTATTGTTATGAAAAACAAAATTGGAAAGATAGTAAAGATGTCTGGTTCAGAAAAAGTAAAGAAAATTACTTAATCTGTTACCTAACTTAACCAATCTTGTTTAGACTACTAGAAAGAATCTGTTATTTTTACAATCGCACAAAGCTCAGATGACCTTATGTGGAGATAATTATTACAATAATTTACGATTTTAGCACTGCAAAAGAATGCGTATTTAACCCATAATTATGACCCAAAAAATAAATATATACATATATACTATAGACAACTTTTACGAAATAAAAACTAGTATATTATTAAAACTGTTTAAAATAATATTAGCTAAAAAGAATAAGCACAGTTTAAATCCAATTGGCTATATTTGGTCAATAATATATTGTTTCGTCTTTTAAACTTTGATATTACGGTAAACATACGTAATATCTGTCTAATTTTAAAGTAAATAGCAATTGCTTTTTAAACAAACTAGACATTACACAGTACACAATATAAAGAAACGATGATTTCGATAACCCGAAAAAATATCGTAAAAATAATAACATAAGGAGTTGTCCAATTAAGAACTTACCCTATTATAACATTATAACATACGGCATCTAGCCAACTAAACATCTTCGATCCCAATTTAGTATTTCGAGAATGCTTAATAATAGAAAGTGAAACGATACCTTGACGTTGAGTTTCGCAAGAACTAAGTACTCAACAATTAATACAAGTTTAACTATGAGAATTCTTGGCCTGCTTAACTGAGAAACTCCGAGACTCATTTATATTTAATTTACTTCAAGATAGACTCGACTGAACGTTTTATAAGCAATTGTTTCGTAGGAACTTTTAGTTTACTTCCCTGTTTGTTATACATAGTCGACTTAAATTTAGTTTATTCTGTCTTATTGCTATTTCCGTGTTTTATTGTAGATGCATCAAAATATGCATTGTTCGAATTCAAACATAAATCACTGGTTGTATTTGTTAATTGATTTGAAGTACGACAAGGATTATGTTCAACACATAATTTATCTTGATGAACGCTTCTATATTAAATCGAGACACTAATTTTTTTTTTTAATTAAGGCGTTCAACAAAAATATAAGTATGAAAAAATAATTATTGCTCGAAATATTGATAGTAGTAACACTTGGATATTACAACACCTCAGACAATACTTTAAAAAGTATAAGTCTATATTACGCTTTCAAAAAAACATGACCAAAAAAAACAACAAACCCAATTCTTTCCCTCCGCGATTTCATCATGGCATATAATTTCGACTCACGAAAACACTTGAAAATAGACGAACAAATTCAAATCGGGACTGTAGACTGAAGATAAAATTAACGCAAAGGTCTTAACTCACTTAGATATGTTATACAGCCGGCGTACATTATTCGCATACTAAGTTTGCAATTTAAATGAACGTTAGGCGATGGGTAAGGCACCGGGAAGCGATAGCAGACGGAAGAGGCCTAGAAGAAGGCTCGTTGTGACAAACGGCTTGTAAAGAAATTGAGGTGATTTTGTTAAGGATTTTTTGGATATTTTTGGTTGTTAGAAACTTAGTTTTAAGATTCAGTGGTTTGTTTATGATGATTCGATAATAGATGAGGAATAGGGTCATTCTGTTGTTATTGTTTTATCAGGTACTAGCGATCCGCGCCAATCGCTCGGGTGCATTGCAGATACTAAATTTGTCCAATATTAAATGGATTTTATTTACCTTCATATCTAATTCAATCATTCTATCTATTAGAACGGCATTGATAAAATCCATTGCTTAGTTTTAAAGATTTAAGCATACATAGGGATATAGAGATAGAATAAAAAAAATATTATTAAAAAAACAAAATACCCGACTGCACACTAAAAAAAGAGTAAAACAAGCCCCACAATACAAATTTACTGAATATAATTTATAAATGTTGATGGAAAGCATCGCAGGCGGGGACCAACAGAGGCTTATTTATAGTCATTTCTGTTGTGCACCATTTAGCAGAATTTTCGTTGGTGGCGGTCAAGGTGGTCCCCGCCTGCGATGCTTTCCATCAACATTTATAAATTATATTCAGTAAATTTGTATTGTGGGGCTTGTTTTACTCTTTTTTTAGTGTGCAATCGGGTATTTTGTTTTTTTAATAATAATTTTTTTATTTATAACTTTTTAGCTGTTTGCAGAATTAACATGTTCCCGTGGGAATTTTGAGAAAAAACGTATCCTATATTAATTACTCCCGTGATTGAAATGAATCTAATGATACCGCATACATATTTTTTTAAAGGGAAATTTAGAAAAAATATTATTATGTCTTTATCCCGTGGGACTTTTAGGATAAAATGTATCCTATGACACTCCCGTAATCAAGACAAATCTAACGATACCTCATACATCAAAATCCATCAAGCCGTTTAGGCTACAGGAGGTCACAAAGGAAAAGACATACATACATACTTACATACACTCGAAAAACATTACCCTCCTTCTTTGGCAGTCGGGTAAAAAGCTACTTTGTTTTATACTTTGTAGTGATATTATGATATTGGGAAAGAGGCGTGTAACCAGAACTGTACATGGTTTAGTAAAAATTTAAGTTGAGAGTATTAATTAGACCTGAAAGCTTTATGTGTATTACTTAGGCGCAAAGAACTCTGCATTAATTTTCTTTTTTTAAATAATTACACATTCATATTTTACTAAAAGTCATTAAAAGACTTATCTCAAAACAAATTAATAAAAAGAAACTTAAAAGTAAAACACTTAAAGAACATTATCGCAAGCCGCAATGTTCACCTACGTGAAGTATTAGAATAAATTACCCAATAACTACACAATACCAAGTGCTTCCGATATGGTCTGCTTGCCACCGGACGCCAGTTGGCTGCGTCGGTTAGTTACCAACCCGGGTTCGAACCCCACACACGTTGGGAGCGGTTTTAAACTTTACGCGCGTTTAGTTCGAAAGTTTTGCGAAGTTTGTAATATATTCCCTTAGCGGAGTATAAAGATTGTTGTTTATAAGCGGTTTAAACCGGTTTTATTTTTCGGATTTTCGTCGCTTATTCGGCGCGTACGCAGTGATATATTGGTTTGGTGTTTGGACAAAAATTTGGCACTGGCCGGGATAATGTGGTGGTTATTAAAATTTTCTATCGTTTTGCAATGTAAGTACTTAATATCATTTTTTAATTATGAACTTTGTTCTTATTTTTGTAGAGTCTATTTTTATATATTTTTTTGGTTCTATGTGATGACAGATACAGTTTTTTAGATACAGTTTTTTTTAGTTTATGGTTTGACCTGGTCCTTTGCTAATTTGGTTTGTATCACGTATCTTTATAATTTGAAATAAAAACAATCATTGCTGCATGGTATTTATAAAGAGCCATGTGCATTCTTTAATGCAACTGAGGTAGTAAAATGTTATTGCAACTCTAAATGTCTGAATTTATTAACGGAATACTTCTATAAAATTTTGAACACATGTATTTAATACAACATTTTGATAACAATATTCGTTTGAATAAAGATTTTTAATGGCTTTATGGCCGTGCAGAAATTTTTGGAACCTTTTAAATATTTGTTTTTCGTGTAAACTTAAAAACCTCGTTCGTTCGAAATCGTCCTTGTTAAAAAAAATATTATCTCAGAATAGGGTGAATAAGGATTGTAGAATGAATAGGTACAGAAGTATGATGAAAAGGCGTTTGGAACTTTTATAGAATTTATTTATTGTATGTATTTTGTAGAATTTATCTAATTTTACAATCTAGAGTATATCGAATATAATAATAAATCATAGCATAGTCATGAGGTTAATTAGATTTATCTTTAATACAGCTCAAGCACATAAAAATAGGTAAACCATGATAATAGTTAAATATATTAATAACTTGTATTTACATGATCACTATTTCTAATATTATAGGTTCGTTGTGTGTGTGTGCCTAACTGCTCCACAAAAGTAAACAAACGATTCGTCGGTCTGAATATCTAAAGGATCGATATGTTGTCGAAGCCATTGCTCTTCTATGAACGGAATCGATCAAATATCGAGTTCTTTCCAACTCGAATGGAATGGGTGTGCACTCGATCTGGTCGTACTGCGGAAGTGTCCTGTTACAATGGTAGGAATATTGGGTTTTACAAAGCTTTGGACGGTTTTTTATTATAGATTTAGTTTTTTTTTTATTACATACATCCATGTATGGCGTCTCGTCTATTATTCCAGATGTGAAGTGACAGAAGTACTCTTAATATTTCAATATTGGAATGTTATTATTTTTTTAAAGTCCTAGTCCTAATAGCTATGCATTCTTTTTTGTGTTTTAATAATGATAAAAATTATGTTTATTATATAATAAAATAGTGATGGATAATGCTATAGTATACCTAGTATCAACGAATCAGTATTCCTAAATACAAATGTACATTAGTAATTATGTTTGATACCTATACTAAGCAGGTATAACAAATGTACATCCGATTACAACAAGAAGTTAAGTTATTGTTTCCACCTGCACAAAGACTATATGCAATAAATTAGTACAATAGTTTTTTTTATGGTCGGCAAACGAACCAAGAACTACTTGACCAATCTTTACGAATATAAGATATTTTTTATTAAAATATTTTCTAAAAAGGTCATATACAATATGTATAAAAGCTACTAAAGTATAAGAACAAAAGAAAATCTAACGAAAGGAATCTATGATTACGAGTTATTCACTTCGCATAACATGAAGATTGTAAAATAAACATTACATCGAAGATAATAAGACTCACAATTGTTTGTTGAATTTAACATACCCATAACACAGAGAATAGCAAACTAGGTCTAGCTTCAAAGGTTAGTGTTAATGTAATTACTTAATTATTAATCCTTAACACAACGAACACTAATTGGTTTCTAGATATCTTAAATAATTAACTCAACCCATTATAATTTTAAAATAATAATGAACGAATTTGTTTTAAATAAGGATATTACTTAGAAGTTTCAAGCATTATTCTGAGTAAACACAACTCGCGTTGAAAACAGATTGGCGATTTTAGTTATATTTTTAGTATAACAATTATCTATACCTAACTATCCTAGCTACGTATATTGGCGCAACGTAGCGAATGATAAAATGAATTCCATAGATTCCAACTTGTTAGTACACGTAGACTTGGCGACGTCATGTTTTTTTTTTGACAACCTGTGAATTAATTGCTTATTAGCTGGATAACTAAAACACTTAACTGTATTTATACACCTTAAATTTAACGATTTCTTCCTCAAAACAATTAAATTAAAATATTTTATTGCATTCAAAAGTAATTTATTTTTGACCAAGTCAAGTACTTAACTACGTAAACAGTATAGGGAATCTGAAACCTCAGGTGTCCTTAGTAATTAAATGACCAATTAACACTAATGACTAAATTAAACCTGCTAGTTAAACCGATGCTCAGTAAGAGGTGAACCACAACTATTGAACCCTAAAGTTGACCCAGGCAATATCGATCTTATATCGAAGCGTGGTAATTAAAGAGTTGCTAGTTAAACATTATTAATTTTATTATAAACAAGTCAAAGTGACCATTCTACGCAAAAAGTCTTATGACATCAAATTTACCATCTTAATAGAATAATAACAGTCAACAAATTATAATTTAATCTTGTTACTTATTCAGTTCATTGGCTTGTGAACCTGCACTAAGTATGATTCCATATACATTATATCTAATATTCAACAAAGAAAATATAAAAATACAAATACTATTTTACTTAAGAACACAATTCCAACTAACAAATAATTTTTTGGTTAAAAACATTGAAATAAAATAAATACTAGCCTGTATTGTTTGTCTTATTAGCGAACATGATGATAGATAAACACAAAAAGGTTCAATAAAATTTGTACAGATAATACAAAATAAACACTATCGTAATGAAAATTCCAAAACTACCTACCTACATCAATATTATTAAAAAAAATTAATAAAAGCAAAAAAATATTGTTTTGCATCAAGTATTGGTCCGCAGTTATCGAAGTAATATAAAATTCAAATGTAGAACGAAATAGGAAGCGCCAATTATCGAATGTATTATTCATTGCCAGTGCAGTCGTGTCGTCCGCGCCGTGTCATGATATGACAACTATTTAATTTCAAATATGGAACGCAGAATTATGTGCTGCCTGTATTCTGAGTTTAAATAATAAAAAGCTTTTAGTCGAGCGAATAAGTATGAATAGCTACTTGGTAGCTGTTTTATGATATTCATATTTTTATTATAGGCACGCAATTATGGGATCTATTTAAAAATGTATACCTATAGTACCCTTTTTTCGCATTTATTATGATAAAAGTAATTGTTGCGAAGTAAGTGTGGTAAAACGTGAAAATACCAAAATAAAACATAAAATACAGTCGATTTTTATAGAGCGACTAACTTTTTTTTATAATTATTTTATTATTTTACTTAAGATAATAATTATTTAAATATTCGATTTGTCTAGTAGTAAATTTCATCAAGCCCTATGTTTTTTATAGCGGCATGTCCATAGCGAAACTTTATTGATGTGTACAAAGCTGTCATTTTGACATTTGACATTTGAGTGATGAGTAAAGTATTGTTAACGCGAGCCTATGAAAGAAAGCAATTCTTTACTTATTTAGTGAACAATATGAGGTATTTTGTCCTATCATCGGCCCCTATTTACTCGTGTTATAATTTATGGTTTTTGTTTAATAATATTACACTGACTTTTATGATCATTTTGATTAAGATTAATTTAACTTCTATTGGTGTCGCCTGTTAAGCCTATTGTACATTTATACCCTTTTTTTCTTTAAAATGTTTTTATTTAGATTTATGATTAGGTACAATTAAATTTGTATTATATAATCCTGATTTTTGTGTAACCTCATTTCATTTTACCTATAATTATTCTTAACCTCAAATTCCCCACTTATTTAAATAACCATTATCAACGATACCTAAAATAAATTTAAATTCAATCTTATTCCTTTTAAGTGAAACATTTTAAAATAATAATAAAACATTCCTTGTTTCTCCAATCTGCACAAAGAATGCGGTAGTCGACTTTGGAGCACGCATTAATTTATTCATTTTGTTTCGCAATCAAAATGTAGAAAGTGAAAATTGCCATTAAGATCTTGACTTAAAGTCTTTTATACACTGGGCAACAATTATTGACTCGCAACATAAATAATATTTACTTCATTTGCGTGAATCATACCGTATATGTCTAACGTTTGTTCTGCTGAGGCACACTTTTGTGTGTATCACTGGCGACTTGGTCTTGGTAAATGTTGCGAGAGAAACCATGTAGATTGTCTGACACTTTTATCTATATATTATTTTATTTGACGATCAAATCTGCTTTATTATATTTATCTAATTGAAATGTAAATGATTTATTTTTGTTGACACTCAATGTTGCTAATAACAGATAATACGGCGCAGCGGTTGGACAACTGCCGTCTATGCAACGTGCCGTAGTTTTCATTCGCACACGAATTAACTTTTTGTGTGATCCACATATTAGGTTTATTTTTCACGCCCTTGTAACTTTCAATTACGACAAAGGAAAAATTATTCCAAGCATGTGGCAAAGTTATATATTATTTTTATACAGTATTTTAAATAAAACGAGGGACATGTTTAAGGACCCGTTTCTCGTGCCCAATAGAACAACACGTTTTTTGTTTTTTTTTTTTGTTTAATTATTAGCTTAGTTATATAAGTCTCAAAAACCTTTCATTTTCAATGTCATGCACACCTGTAATTTGTACAATTGCTTGTGCATCCAATTATTTGATTATTGTGTTTTTTGTATAACATTGGGTGATTGTATTGTTGGTGTGCTTATTTTTAAATAAATAAAATTTTCCATAAAACCAATATAGAACTTAAAAAAAAATTACTTCTCCATGTAAAATAATCAATCAGGTGTTGCGATCTAGAAGAGATTTGAATATTGGTCCAACGGAAAAAGCTGTTATAATTGAGCACTAAAATCGGCTCTTTCAATATGGCCTTCGTTTAATCTAATACACTGTATAATTTTAATTTAAAAAAATCTGATGATGGTGAAAGAATCTGATCATGAGTTGATATGTTTTTGTCCAGTATAATGATCATGAACCAAAA